TGTTTGCCTTGCAGGGGAAATTTAATCTTTCTCCCACATTCGAAGATTGAAAAACTTAATTAAGCTTCGGAAAAGGCTTATTATAGATTCTAACATTTGTTGATACCTTATTCGATACGATTCTTATCTACTTCTCAGATTAATTCAGTTAACATCTGTTTTGAGACGTGCTCAATTGACCCAAGCTCATGATTCTCATGTCAAAAATGTCATGAAATACTGAGTTTTTATTTCCTGTACGTCTCATACGGGTTCTCTACAACAAAAGTCTCTCAAAATAATATTTTTTTCTGGTCCCCTGAATTTAGTTGTCATAGAGAGAAATATAAAGAGTCTACCTGCATAAATATATATATACAGTATGCATATAAAATAAAAATGACCCCGATTTCGAAGCATCCCTGAGAGGCAATTAAACAACGGGGGAGGCAGAAATCCCGGAGAATCCCGCCGGGTTCCTATTGCCCACTTCAGAAAGGCACCCAAGCATGAACAGAGGCTTTATGACCCCTTCAGGGCATTCCGTAATGATCCTATATTCACAAAGATAAGGTAACAGACTGAAATAAGAAAACAGGCCTCATTGACAACGGCCACCGTAAGCCGCGGAATTCAATCCTCACGGACACCTCGTTCAACATCTGCACGAAGCCGTAATTCGTGAAGAGTCACGCGAATCACCATTAATGGCGTCACTGAAGTCGATTTCCACAGATTACAATTTAAATGTGTACTAAAAATACACTCGCCATTCGGTTCTACACGTCTCCTTCTGTGCTCACTGATTATATGAACTAAAAGTGCGCAATCTTTCGAAATATACTTCCTGATAAGTCTTCTAAATTCTACGAAATTTAATTTCTCAGCTCCTTGTTCTGAAAAAAAAACAAACAAAATCATACCGGAATCTTTTAAGGCAAGTAAAAATTGCTCGAAGTCTTTAAAAAAAGCTTCTAACACAACTCAAACAAATTACGATAATCTTGCCAATTTGGCAGCGACACAAGAAAAAAGTATCAATAAGAGAAAACGATGGAATTAATAGAGCTGACTTTTTCCACACTGCAAAAAGTTCTTTGCCGAGTTGTTTGCTTCGCATTTCCACTGGTTTTACACAAATTTTTTCATGCGATTAACCGTATAATGAAAGTACAACTTCCAAATTGCGGAACATCCACTCAAATCTCCGCAAAAAATAAAAAAACGCACTGCAACTTTGCAGAAACCCTTGATGTAAAAAAATCCTCCTTTCCTTCGGAATGCCTACATCATCAAAAGGGGGCGTTACTTTTCCAAGTACCTTTTCACCGGAATGGGAAAACTATGTGATAAGTGAGCCTTTCAGCCGCACAGGAGGAAATCTTGGGTGAAAAAAGAAACACTTCGGTGTCTGTCACTTTCAGTTTAATTGCGAACACAAAAAAGAAGACTTTCACTTGATGAAAATAAGTACATAAAAAGGGTTGCCTCACAAGTTAACTGCTTTCTTCGCTCGATGGATATTTATTTTCTTAACATCCGAACAGTGTTTCAATTTTCACTCACCCGAGTTCAAATGGCGAGGATGAGAAGAAGTTAAAAGTTTGACGAGGAAATCACGCGACGAATGGAATAATATGAAAAACACTATCTACAAATTTAAATTTAAAAATCTTCTCACGCAGTTACGAGTACCCAAAAATATGACAAAAAACTCAATTTTCGAGCTATTAAAGCTGCACGTAAATATTTCCCGAGATTTAGTTTAAATTCGTCTAAAATTAACAATATATCAAGGAAATCAACAGAAAATCGAATCAAGACTCGATACAGATTTCACAACACCTTAAGAAACTTCGGCTCGAAAAACATGGCGAGTCCCTAAACAAATTCCGCACATGAAAGTTCTGCGCAAATTTTATGAACCATCTCTCGTACTTGGCTTCAAAAAAAAAAAAAAAAAAAAACCGAGAGAAGAAGAAAAAAAAAGAGTGGGAAAGGAAAGATTTCCCGGGGAATGTTGATCGGGAATCACAAACGATTCAATTTGCAGGAGGAAATAATAACATTCCTGACAAAAAAAAAAAAAAACATACGCGCTTCATCATCACACGGTGTATTTAAAAAAACAAAAACCTGGTTCTTATTTTTTTTGGTAAAGGAAGCGAAAAGAAGGAAAATAAGACGAGGAATTTCCCAAGGACTCGAACAGCGCGGAAAATTGGTCGGAAGCTGGATGCATTTCCCAGTGTCCACGATTTTTCTCGAGGAAAATTTCTTAGTTTGCTTTCCCCCCCCCCCCTTACAAACCAGCCGAGCATGTCCCTCTTTTCTCCGCCATCTGCCTCGGATTGCATCCCGACTTCTTCATTTCATCCCTCAGTGGGAGGCAACACCATAAAAACACACCAAAAAAAGAGAGAGAAAAAAACACAAACAGCGGACTTCATTTAGTGCCTGTAATTACGCTGCTCTCGGATTACCTTTTTCCTCAACAGCCGCCTGCATATAATTAACTCGCGGAAATTCACACTCCTTCAACCGAGGAGTTTACGGCATTTTGAATTCTCCGCTGCGTGCTTTCAGGAAAAATAGGGTCACGTTGGCAGACGAGAAGAAGAAGGGAAAAAGAGGTCATTTCTGGGTAAAGTGCATCAATATACAACAGAATGGCTCATTGAGGACAACGCCTCCATATAAAATCGAAAAACCCGAGCAATCGGATGATCCTCGAAAAGAAGTGCAAAACGACCCAAAAAAACGCAATTAGGGACGCCCAAAAATCAAATAAAAAATTAGAAACCCCTCCCCCAACTCGGGGCCACGCTTTTAAAAAGTAGTTTGGGGCGCTGCGAACTTTTTCTTTTACGAAATCAGAGAGCCTTTTCGCACCTAAAAGGCGCAAGAAGTTTGTAAAAAAGAAAAAAGATAAAAGGATATCTTGGGCATTTTTCTCATTTCAAAAAAAAGCGAAAAACACGGGAGCTATTTTTCTCTCTCGTTCCTCGCATAACTGCTCAACTGCTGCAGCCCAGTTTTCCAGTCACGAAAACCGTTGTTCGGAATGCGGACGACTCGTCACACGCCATGGAAGGAAAAACGCCTGTTTTTTGGCGACACGAACAGGGAAGAGGAAATCGTTTTCCGTGCTTCTGTTTTTCTTTAATTCTTGTAATTTCTTCAAAGTCCCCGGAGAAACAATTGCCTCGTGTATATACCTTGGAAAATGCATTTCCCGAATCCCCTTTTGTGTGTCCCTCAGTAGTGGGCTTTTGTTCACTTGTCAGAATTGACTCTATATATACGTGTTTCTTTGGCCAGAAGAGAAGCATTAACAATCTTTTGGCTACGGACAGACGGTCTGGAACTGATGGAGTATGTGACCGACCTCATGATGACTATAGCTGACACTTCGGAAGCTTTCTAAAAACATTTTCGGTGCCATCAGCCACAATTTGAGCTGGCTTTAAAAAAAAAGCTGACCTAATATAGTCTGCGTATAGAAGCTGAAACAAGTAAGCGACTTGACCTCAAATAAACCGAAATGGCTTTACCCTGTACTCATTTTTCAAAGCATTTTTCTTCTGGGATATTTCATAAAAAAATGATTTTTATCATAATTCTACAACAGGATTTCGCAGTGAGGACTGCGAAATGAAAAATTAAATGACTTCGAAGATATTTTATTTTTTGTATTGGCCTAAGCTTGAGTTTTTTCGCCAATCCAAGATCAGACAGCAGCCAAAATTATCCTTCAATTTCCAATAAGGAAAGGCAGAAAAATAGAAAAACCTTCGCCATTTGATGACAAACGAAATTTTAAACACTACACGCCTAAACTTTTGATATCAAGTATATACTGCAATTGTTTACACATAAAAATGAAGATATTATCACGTCATCCACTCAGAATGAAGAAATTTGGCGCAACTGATGGAATGCAAGATTTGAGCTAGTTTCTTTTCAAAATATTACTCACCAAAAAATAATTCAAAATGCCAGAAAAAGAAAGATCTGATTGATTGTATGCAGAACTGATGTTCAAAAAATTCAGCGAAAAATGTTGAAAATGTCATTATTATTCCTCTGAAGTCCCCAAAATTTTTCGCAAATATATCCTATTGTACTGTAAAATCTTTCTGCCAGTCACAATAACTGTCTCTGCATCAGGTAGGTCACGTACTTCAACACAATTTCGCCTATCAAGTCACTCAAGTACTAAAACTACGTCAGATGACATTTAAAAAAAATGTAAAAAAAAAATCCCCCCGAGGCAGGCTAATATTAGAAACAGATGCCAACTTGAGAAGTCGTATCGAACGAGACAAATTGGAACAGCTTTATTCTTCCGCGCCACGTTCCAGCCGAACTTGACGGATGCTGCGAATGGGCCGCAATTACGAGCCATTTCTCTCAAAAAAAACCATGTGCGACTTTAAAAAGTCCCGAAAAGAGGAGCCCCGAAGGCGATATTTATCCCAGCAACGAAAAATCTCACGCCTGCGACGATTATCGAACCGTTGTTCGGAAGCGCAGCTGCGAAATGCCCAGAAAAATCATCAAGCAAGAAGAAAAGAAAAAAAGAAGTCATCGAATCATCCTGGCTTCAGATAAAGCAAACCAGCTTTTAAAAAAGATCACAGTTAAGAGTTGCTGGGAGCAATAATAAAACATTATTATAATAATCTTGGAAACAAACTCAACGGATTTAATTGACGGGAATTGCAACAAGGATCGATCGCGAGGGAGTCTTTCTCCAAGGTTGTCCACTTTTCCCCTCCCAACAGGATCTAATCTGTACTGAGTCACCTTGGCTTAATTTGAGTCGACTATCCAGTGCTTTGAGTCTGCTTGTCAGACAAATCCTGTACCCTTATAGTCCGATCGAGACTCAATCCAAGTCTTCCTCATTCCGTGTGTATATAAGGGCTCCCAGGCAAAACCTTCCACATATACAAGTATACAGTACAAATATTTACGAGAAAAAAGAATGAGAATGGCTTTGAGAAACCACGAAACAACTAATCGTCGTTGCTGTCCAAGAAAACCAGCCCTCTTTAAACCATAGCCTCGAAAAAAGCGCTCAAGCATTTCATTAGGTAATTTTAAATTTAAAATAAACGTCACAACAAACCATTGGTGACTTCAGAAAAAATTCTTCATACTGAATAATTTATCACACCAAGATTTTCAAAATTACTGACTGGAAAACTTTTTCAAATCAGACCTAATAAAATAGATTATCAGAACTTGATTTTCTTGCATTCTCAAAGTTTTTGATGGATTTTTGAGAAACGAACAATTTTCCGAAAAAAATTAGGTTGAATCATACATCCCATCAATTGCACAAATCACTTCATTACAGGGGGATGATGTGTGGAACCACTTGAAAAAAAATATTATTCATTGATTACAGATTTCGTTCATGCTATATATAAGAGCCATCAGTCAGTCACATTTGGGATCAGAAATTTTTAGACTGTGTCTACCATATTCGGAAAATTTCTAGCTGGACTAAATACACAAAAATTCCTCAGTAGGGTTTGTTATACTCGAATTCGGAAGTTCATCATAATAAAGTATGTGCTCTAAATGGGTTTTTTGCTGGGACTTTATTATAACGGTTTGTAATACTGAAAATTTTTTTGTAAAGGTATTTTTTGAGAAAAGATATTTCCCTGTAATTCCTCCTACTGCTGCAAAAAATCCACGACCAACAAATTAACAATATATTTGGCGCTGTATCCTCCCCGCCCCACTATTCCCAGTAAACGTGAACTATTTTTTAAATTTGCAAAGTGGTTTTTAAAAAAAATTGCGAAAATATTTCAATCGACTTCGAATTTGTCTTTCAAAAAATACTGTACATAACGCAATGAAATAGCTGCTCGAAACCCTAAATTTTTTTTTCCTGCGAAATTTTCTCCCACACAGCCCCGAAAAAATAACCTCGGTCATTTCGAAAATAACAGACGACCTGCATCTGAATCAAAATTATATGATCATGATCAACAAAAATCTCCAATAGAATTGTTACAATTTCTTGAATAATAACCCTCACCCAACCCCTCCCCGAAAAAAACGACACACAAAAGAAAATGCGGACAGCTTTCGTAACAGTATTCTTTGGATCACTTTCATACCATTTCGTCACTCGATAATCGGAATGCTGTCATTGCGGAAATTTGCCGAGAAGGCGGCCCTATAGAACCCTCGTGCCAGCACAAACCCGTGGTTTCATCTCTTATACAGAGATACAATTTTCGCGTTAAATTCGACCTCGGATCCAGGTATGAAAACAAAATCGGGTTCTCAAGACAAGGCCCTCGAAGGGCAAATTACGTTACCGAAAAACGCAGCGTAGCGGATGTCGGACGGAAACTTCGCATTGGTTCGTGTCGCAATCCGCACGATCGAAATCCTTGCAAGGCCGAAGGAAAGAAACCCACGAAGGAAAGCAGGAAAAACTCACCTGAAAATAGAAAAACATACAACTTCGATTAGAATAACAATGCTCCAGAGAACGACGATTTAAAAACTCTAGAATACGCCCTGAGTCGAATCCATCAAGTCTTTGTAGAGGACAAAACAAATTGGAAAAACTGATCCACAATAAATTCAGTACTAGCCTTTCCCTATATTGGTATTCCACCAGAGAATAGTTTCACATGCATTTCCCGTCCAAGCAAAAATAAACTACCCTTACATCTCTACATCATGAAACCGTGAATTGAATTCGCACAAACTTTTTCTTCCCAATAATGGCACTGCAAGACCAAAATAACAAAGAACACAACTTGATTATATTTGAGCCCAAAGGTTATCTCTTCACCTTTCAAATATTTTCAATTACAACAATTTATACCCGGGGAATGATTCAATCTTCTCGGTACACAAATTGCGTCATGAATTCAAGGAGTCTGTTTCTGTGCAAAAAAAAGTATGTGGCGAACAGATGCTGACCTTGCCAAGAAAATGTATTTCTGATGACGAAAATAAATTATTTTCTTCCAATCAAAGAAAGCCTGATTCGACAAATCCGCTAAATGAAACTCTCGACGGCCTTCATGCAAACCCCCCTGCATAACTCTATTCAAAAGCGAACACATATTTTCTTTCAATCAAATGCACCTGCTGATGTCATAAAGTCACTCAAAACCATGAACTTGGACATCATTCGAAAGCAAATAAATGATTTTCAATTTAATATTGTTCTCTCTCAGCATCTCGAGAAGACGACAGCAAGACGAAATCCTTGAACATCATTTCAATAATAGTGGTTGTCAATAATCGCATGATCCTCAGTAAATCCATATTTCTCTTTCTTTTTGAAACAAGCACTTCAGAGTAAATATGTTTTTTTCTTCTCCTTGTGCATGGTTCCCTGTTTACGTTTCCAGGACGTGGGAAACAATCGGCATGAATGACACATTGGAAGAGAATATTTCGCCATCATACAAAAGACGTGACACGAGTCCGAAAGAAAATCGAAACCCACGTCAACGACTCCCACGCCCCGGACCAAACTCATTTCCAGTCAACCCGTGACCTGGTTTGACCCATTCCAAATAACACACAACCCCGGTCACGTCCGCTTCACTTTCAAGGCGAATAAATCTCCGGTTTCGACGCTTGAAAGCAAAAAACGACTTTGGAAATATGTCCAAGCATAATTTTCTTCCAATTTCGAAATACCCGGGTTGGATCTTCTATTTTTCACGCAATTTTTCCCTCGGAATAATCGTTACAGTATCATATTTGACCATTTCTAAAAATCTCTTGCCATTTTTAGGTCATTCAGGTTGAATGCAAGAGAAAATGCATTCGACGAATGGAAAAAAAATTAGGTCAACCAATCTATTTGCACGTTTAATGGATTTTTTATGCGTTGAAATGAAAGAAAATATTGCTCAAGATCTGAGTGCCGTGATTCGATAGAACAGACGTGCTGGTGATTTTGGTTAATATTTATGCAAGGCGAATCTCCGAAATATCGACTCGTTTAATTTTGCAAAATCTCCTATATCTAAATGACTTTTAGTTTCCACATTGAACCCGTCATGATTTTGGATGACTCTGATTCCCAACTGCGCATCTCAAGTAACTTATTGGAAGAAAAACTGATAAATTCTATCCTCGTTCGCGTGCTTGAGAAAGTCATGTCATTGCCCGGGTTCTTCAACACCGAGAGAATAGTTGAAGAAAGGAAGACCTTGGATTGAATCACGACCCGAGTTCTGTTTATTTTATTTTACTTAAATTTTTTTTGTCAAAGAAAAAGAGAAACTTGGAAGCAATCTTTAATACCGGTCGTGAAATCCTGATCGGCGACGAATGAAGACCTCACGCAACAACGACCTCAGGAACGGAATCCCGAGATCGGTCACGCTTCATGCAGCCGATCAACGAGGACCTTGAATTTTACCAAAAAAAAATGTGCGCAGCAAAAATATAAAATAAGTACGCCGAGTAACGAAAAAATTCCTCACTTTCTTTCCTTCTCGCCATTTTTTTTTCTTCAAAAATGCGAGGCGCAGATCGACTCATTATGGAAAGTCACGAGGACTCCCTGAAAAACCACTTTTCTAAAAGCGAAGGAAATTATGATTCACGTGCCAATAAATCTTGAGGCTGTGTAATGCTGTGAACTCGTATGAAACTCATTTTTTAAAGTAGAAATCAAGGTTTAATTTCGCTTTCGAGAGAAAAATGCGGAGCTCAGGCCGTTTCGCAACTACGTCTCGAGGTTCACGCGTGGAAAATGTGCAAAAATTATCGTCATCCGCAGAAAGACTGATGCTTTTCCTCAAAAAATGTAATTATTAATAGGAGAGAAAGGGAAGAAGAATCGTATCCTTTTACTGAATTTAATAATTTTTTATTTATTTTACAGCTGCCGAGCAGCTAATGTTAAAATATTTACAAGAATTTTCCAAGCTTCATCTCCATTTGGCAAAAATATCACGAATATGCGTGCTGAAAATGCCTAAAGCTTCAAGGTTCGCGCGTATTTAATCACACATGAATCAACCTGGGCTTGAAATTCGAGAAAATATCGCACTGAAATCTTGTCGGCAGTTAGGCAATGAAAAAAAGAGAAGATGAAAGCTTCGTGAGAACAGTACAGTGTAACCAATAATGACAACAATTTCGTTTTTAAAAAAATACCCCCCAACTGAATGCATCGCATCCTTGAACTCGCTGTGAAATCACGAGACGTTCTATTGCGAATCAGTTTTCGAAGACTTCGGTAAAATTCCTTAAAATGTCCGTTACATTCATTTCTTTATTTCCATCAAGCTATGATGCTGAAGGCAGCACGATTTCGTTCCGTAAGTCGAACGGTTTTGAAATGCCTTCGCTTGCCATAAAAAAAGATTTTCTAATAGGATGGTATTTATGCCTAAGAACCACCGGTAGATCGATAAGCGTGAAGAAATCTGCTTGGTATTCCAATATTGCTGTTTTCAGTGAAATTTGCGCTTGTTCGAAGAAAAAAAAAGATTTTAAATTTACTCCGCTATGTCGGATTCCATTTTCAAATACCCTCACGTCCCACGAAAGTGAGAGAACAGGACACATTTTTGTCTGAATGAAAATGCATTCACCAAGAATCGACTAAAATTTTGAAAATCTACCTGAGAAATTGAATGATCTTTATTTCATCATTTTCAATTGCTTCTGAAGACTTCAAGCAAATTCCCAATGTAAAAATGAGGCGCAAGAGCAAAAAAAAAAAAAGATTTAAAAAAAGGAGATTTCTCCTTTTTTCCCTGCTTGAATCGCCAAGTTCGGAAACGTTTTTCTATTATTTCGACTGAGGCGTCATCAATAATGCGTAGATTGAGCCGACACGGATTCAAATTGATTGACTCACATGAAAGTCGCGTCTTGCCAATAATTTAAAATACATCTTTCTTACAAAAAAAATTAATAAATGTAAAACCTATTCGAGGTCGCGCTGCGGGATTGTTTCAAATGACCCGCGGAAACACCTCAAGCTTATTCGAATGTTATTTGCCTCAAAATTCATCCAGTTCGGAAGATTTGCTTTTTATTTGGTCAACCCTGTATGTGACAGAGCGACCGAAATTTCTCCCAGGCAGTAATTATTATTGGGCATTTATCCTTCACGGATTGAAATCATTGAAGGGCGATTATTTATATTTCTCCTCGCGTCACCTTTGGCGGAAGTGGCGGCGGGGTTTTCGGCGGCAATGGCGGGGAAATGACGGGTTTTTTGCGTGCAGGGTGATGGGATTTAAAGCGCCATTCCTCGCGCTTCCGGAACCCGAACCCAGACTCGAACGCATTTCCGATTGCGCCGCCCACGAGTCCGACCGAGTTCAGCTTGTTTGGCATGCTCTTGGCCTTGGACAGCTTTTTGCCGAATCCGAACATCGTGTCCAACATTTCCACTCGACCGAACTCACTCTAACGCACAAANCAAAAAATGTAATTATTAATAGGAGAGAAAGGGAAGAAGAATCGTATCCTTTTACTGAATTTAATAATTTTTTATTTATTTTACAGCTGCCGAGCAGCTAATGTTAAAATATTTACAAGAATTTTCCAAGCTTCATCTCCATTTGGCAAAAATATCACGAATATGCGTGCTGAAAATGCCTAAAGCTTCAAGGTTCGCGCGTATTTAATCACACATGAATCAACCTGGGCTTGAAATTCGCCAAAATATCGCACTGAAATCTTGTTGGCCAGTTAGGCAATGAAAAAAGAGAAGATGAAAGCTTCGTGAGAACAGTACAGTGTAACCAATAATGACAACAATTTCGTTTAAAAAAAAAATACCCCCCAACTGAATGCATCGCATCCTTGAACTCGCTGTGAAATCACGAGACGTTCTATTGCGAATCAGTTTCCGAAGACTTCGGTAAAATTCCTTAAAATGTCCGTTACATTCATTTCTTTATTTCCATCAAGCTATGATGCTGAAGGCAGCACGATTTCGTTCCGTAAGTCGAACGGTTTTGAAATACCTTCGCTTGCCATAAAAAAAGATTTTCTAATAGGATGGTATTTATGCCTAAGAACCACCGGTAGATCGATAAGCGTGAAGAAATCTGCTTGGTATTCCAATTGCTGTTCTGAGTGAAATTCACGCTTCTTTGAAGAAAAAAGGAGATTTTAAATTTACTCCCCGATGTTGGATTCCATTTTAAAATACCTTCACGTTTACGAAAGTGTGAGAACAGGACACATTTTTGTCTGAATGAAAATGCATTCACCAAGAATCGACTAAAATTTTGAAAATCTACCTGAGAAATTGAATGATCATCATTTCATCATTTTCAATTGCTTCTGCAGACTTCGAGCAAATTCCCAATGTGAGAATGAGGTGTAAGGGAAAAATATGATTTTCTTTTAAAGGATACATTATTTCTCCGATTTCCCTGCTTGAATCGCCAAGTTCGGAAACATTTTTCTCATTTCGACTGAGGCGTCATCAATAATACGTAGATTGAGCCGACACGGATTCAACTTGATTGACTCACATGAAAGTCGCGTGTTGCCAATAATCTAAAATACATCTTTCTCAGAAAAATATGAATAAATGTCAAACCGATTCGAGGTCACTGCGGCATTTTTTTAATTGACCCGGGGAAATACCTCAAGCTTATTCGAATGTTATTTGCCTCAAACTTCATCCAGTTCGGAAGATTTCCTTTTGTTTTGGTCATCCCTGTATGTCACTATAGGCTGACAGAGCGCCCGAAATTTCTCTCAGGCAGTAATTATTCTGGGCATTTGTCCTTCACGGATTGAAATCATTGAAGGGCGATTATTTATATTTCTCCTCGCGTCACCTTTGGCGGAAGTGGCGGCGGGGTTTTCGGCGGCAATGGCGGGGAAATGACGGGTTTTTTGCGTGCAGGGTGATGGGATTTAAAGCGCCATTCCTCGCGCTTCCGGAACCCGAACCCAGACTCGAACGCATTTCCGATTGCGCCGCCCACGAGTCCGACCGAGTTCAGCTTGTTTGGCATGCTCTTGGCCTTGGACAGCTTTTTGCCGAATCCGAACATCGTGTCCAACATTTCCACTCGACCGAACTCACTCTAACGCACAAACACACACACACACACAGGCACACGTACGAACTCACAAATTATTCAATCAAATTACTGATTGATTGATATGCACCAACTTTTTTTTTTTTCATTCACGGCACGACGCGTGACACGACTTATTCCGACACGATCGCTGCTGAATTATCATTGCTTCTTTGCGCAAATGTCTTTCTTCAGATTTTTTTTTCTGCTTTTCTGGTGCGTTCAGGCACAGAACGGGGTTTCACGCAGAAAAACTGAGGGCTGCAAGCGTACACAATATTAATTTTTAAACAAAAAGTCTAAAGCACATTTTGGGTCAAGTTTCGCAGCAAAATTGCAGAAGGTGCGAATAAAAATTCGAAGACACGTCGGGTATGAGGACATAAAAAAAAAAGATCCAGGGTCAAAGCTTCATTGCAGAAATTATCTAAATTTCCGAATATACCTGATAACAAAATTTAAATTGCTCGAATGGTTCTAAAGCGGCTCAAATTTTAAGTAATAAATCACAGGGAATGAAAATTCAAACTCCGTGCGTGATCTACCGCAAAGTTTTATAATCGCAGTTTTGATTATCTTGAAGTCTGGATAATTCGAAACTCTCTCTTTCAAGACACGCTCTTTCAGCACTACTTCACTATATATTGATGTTTTCCTTTTGAAATTTTCCCACTCGTCTAGTAGAGAAGTTGAGATGACTGAGATTGACTTTTCCTATAGACGGATTAATGTTTCGGAATGGACTTATTCATGGAGCTTCGTTCGTCTTACTCAATTCGATTCTCTTTCGAAACTTTCTCCTATCAAACATGTTACAGTAGTACTGTATTCTAATGTACGCCCCTTTAAAAATTAAAAAAAAACAACCTGTTCACCCAGACGAGGACTTCGAATATTCTCGGCCCACAGCCATCAACGACACTTGACGCATACATGAATTCGATCAACACACGCACACACACACTACAGCAGTGTGTCTGTGTCACTGCTGCTGGCGATCAATGGAAGGAAACCCAGCTTCTGCCTGAACCTCTTCTGTATTAAGTGAGACACACACACACACACACACACAGAGACCAGCAGAGTCCAGTACAATGTGCCTCAGCTTCCTCAAACGAGAGGACAAAGACCTGAAGGAATTCCTCCAAGCAGCGGACACACTCGAGGGGGGGGGGGGGAGATATCGCCACAAAATCCTGTCCCAGGTTTCGACAAGACGGGATTCCTTTCCTCATCCGAAGAGTGTATATAGTGGGGGGGGGGGGGGGCATTTCATTATGCCCCGGGGGAAAAGAAGGAAAAAAAAAAGGGGGGGGGGGGGGGGGGGGGCATTTCATTATGCCTCGGGGGAAAAGAAGGAAAAAAATACACGAGTATACGTAAGAACACACACACTTCCGGAATACATGGACAGGAAACTCACGACGAGAGGAGTGTAAAAAAAAAGAAAGAATAATAATAGCGGCACTTCCGCGCAGCACACATGCACCAGACTGGCTTCCAGGAGCCGGATGAGAACTGGATGGACGCCTCTCTGGAGTCGCCGCCGCCGCCAACGCCGACTTTTGCCGCGCTGCCGCGGAGGCCCGCACCACAAGAGTGGTGGCGGTGCTGGTGGCGGCAGCTGCAGTGGTGCTGGTGCTGCTATGTGAACTGGGGGCACACTGAAACTTCACTTTGACACTTGATTTGCGCATAAATCCTAAATTATCTCCCCGCCAGCACGCGCTTCACTTTTTTGTTGTTGCTGTCATCACGATACCACATTTCACTTATATATATGCTCAGTCTCGCTCATTATTATATCCACACAAAAAAAAAATCACTGAAGATGAAGAATCGACACAATGGACACTTTCCCAAAGCTTCATATCTCATTCATAAGGATGGGGTTTCTTAATTTCCAATTTTGAAGCTCAATTGGAAATTTTTTAAAATTTTTAATTCACATTCTCGCCGGGAAATTTGGATTCTACACTCCGCCGAAACGAACACAAATTCCCAAATTTTAGCCATAAACAGGCAAGCAGGAAGGACGACGTTTCATCATGACCAGGGACCAAGTGTGGTTCTTTCAACATTTAGTCAAAATGTGAAATTTCTTGGTATTTTTATCCAGGCATTTCTTTCGAATCGTCTTTAGATAAACTCTACAGATGGTCGAATTTATCAAGCTGAGCATGTTCAGTTGAAATATAAAATATTATTCCAAAGGTATTTCTGTATCATGCCAAATATGTTCAACGTCACTCATTAATAATCTCGGAAAGAAGCAATGCCAAAAGAACTGAAAATTATTGTATTTGAAAGCGCGCACTTTCAATTAAAACAGGCTTTCATCTCAGGAAAAAATGGCTGAATCCGCGAATTTTACTTCCCTCGCCTGAAATTTGTTTGCACTTTCTTGTGTCTGTAGGTAAAGATTTTTTTCATGATTTAAATTACATTAGCTTCACTTTAGTCATTTTCAGGCAAGAGAGAATATTTGTGTTACCGCACAAAAATAAACGTCGAGAAGTAAAACAAAAAGAAATGGAAACGGCTTTGAATAAGTACCACAAGGTGTGGAACGAATCGTTTTTGATTAATTCCCGACAGGATGAAAACGTCGGTCGCTTTTCCGAAAGAAAAAATTTCAGAACACCCGGGAATAATTCAACCGCAAGAAACAATACAAAAATGGAGTGAAGTCGTTTCTTATCAAACATATGTGCTGAACAGTACAGTACTTGAAAACCACCGGGGAATAAATAGACAGGAGTATTTATTTATAATCTATAATTCCCCTCCGCCGTTCAGACGCACAGACGATACCAAAAAAGACTGCTTTTCCGAGTGTTATTCGAAGAAAAAACAACGAAAAAACGGGTACTTGTTTCAATCTGTCTATTTTCGGAATGCCCTCGGGATCTAATCTTTTTCAGGGAAGGAGAGACGCCCACGATGAAAATATTAGCGCCGGAAACGAGTTGGCGATGCGCCAAAATTGACGGAGCGCTCACACTTCTCTCATCAATTTAACTACCCGCACTTTTCCCCCAACTTACGGACTGACTCCTCCAAAAGAAATATAAAAAAATAAAACCTTCATCAAATTCCACGACGCGTTCTGAGCTCGAAGTCAATCGGGTGAGTTTCACAGAGTTTTTATTCACAAGAATCGCGTTCTTATTTTCATTCCCTTGGTGTATGGAGATTTGAAAAATAATAATAATGACGAAAAATATGGTCCTCGTCGCCCTTTTAGCGCAGCTTTTCTGCCAACTCGGGTTTTCGTACGATGACGAAGAACCCACGATTCCACCGGACGACGGACAGGATAACGCGATGCCGCTCATGTGCTATTCTGGAATGTTCGATTTCCAGAAAGGAACATTTTGCCTCATCCGAAAGCTTTGTCCAAATTTGCCCAGGGACAACAGCGCAATCACTCCTGCTTGCTCTCTGTCCTTCATTACCAGCATTCCGAAACAGCCGCCCGTGGGTTCGTTTTGTTCCCTCCTTATTTTCGCAAATTTTTGCTGGTGCTTTAATTCTACGCAAAAAAGAACGATGAAAACTAAAAGACCGATTTTTAACTAGCTGAAAATGCGGAACGGTTATTATAAACATGAAATGACGTCTAATTGAACCTTTCGCTATATTGTACTCTTGAAAATATCAAATTTTGAGGTTTGGAAATTATTAGCACGCTTACTTGAAAAATTAATTCCTCGGGGGAATTCGGCAACCTGCTTTCGAAAATTCGTCGAAGGTGTTTGCTCGAATGTTGTCTTGATTAATACTTGAGAAGATTTTAAATTTAAATCCTTTTATTCCTTGAAAGAGTTTCCTGCCAATTTGGTGTTCAACTTTTTAAAAAAGTTGAACGAAGGTAACACGGAAAGAGTTTCTTCCAGCAATCGGTAAAGAAAAATTAATCAAAACTTTTCGTATAATGAATTCAATTTAAGTTAATGCTGAATTTTTGTGTGGAAAACTTTGCTTCGATTTTTTTTTTTTTTTTTCATAAAAAATCACGTTAAAATGATGTAAGTGTATAATTAGTTGTTGAGTAGGTGATGACGGATGCATTAATCATTGATAAAATAAAATCAGCAGCTTGAAGTTGGCTCAGTTTGTGCTTTTCTCATGATTCGCTCAGTTTTCAGATGATTATTTCAGAGTCTCTGATTGTTGTTGTAGGGAAATTCCAGCAGAAAAATTTCCTAAGCAATTCCGAGCACGATGACGATTGCCCACTTGAGGAACAGTATTTTCTGGACATGAAAATCTTCTGGGAAACGTTCTAGAAGAATAATGGCGAGCAATCCCGCCAGCGTTACACCTTACGTCTTCCCAAGCATAATAGCTGTCTAAAATTTTATTGCTTTCCCACACCAAAAATACACCCCACGAGTTAAAAGAAGAAATATCGCAGAAAAAAAGGAGGATTTCATTCTCGCGATTATACCCAACCCACACACTCACCCAAAACAAAAGGGAGTGTATTAAGAGTGTATTTACTTCCCGCTTTTTTTCTTCTTCCTTTTTTTGGCGGCGTTTAATTTGGCAGTCTTTTTCGTTCTTCGTGTTTGTTCTTCTTACCCTGTACTACTACGTCTAGTTTTCATGACCGCAAGCCAATGTTTCCCCGAGCAGAGAAAGCTTTCTAGAAACGACCTCGATCATCGCTCAACCGAATGAACTGAAAGCATTTTCGATGAGCGGAATTAATGCCGCCGGCTCTGGGAAATTACACGCTTTTTCTCCACGTCTTTCACTAAACGTTTCCTTCATCTTTCGACCATTCAAGACTCATTTTATGCGGTGGACAGGGAAATAATGCTAAACAAATGAGCAAATTTCGCAAGAAAAATAATAAAAGAAAAAGATATAAAGCTGAGCTTGACAATGCTTGACAATGAATGATCAAAATATCAACAAACCACGATAAACCGAGAGATAAATTAATGTGAGGTAATCGAAATGACTAGTCAAAAATATTGACTGCATTTACTGCAAACCGATCATCAAGCAAAATCTTTCATTTCCAATATTCGGAATTTAAAATACTTCTGGAATATCATGCTTTTTGATTGAAGTATCTGGAAATTTCATCACCAAAATTTCCTGTGGCCTCCCATTGTTATAAGGTTGACTTAATGAAAACCAAAAAAATCTTCTCCAGATTGATGTTCAGGAAAACCTCCCATAATGTTTTCTAAGTTGAAAATTTATTGAAATTTACAGTGACCATTAAAAGGATTTGCCAGGATAATTAAATTTTTCAGGTTTTTGTACTGACCAAGATTGGAAACTGGCGTGAGGAAAATTATATAAATGCAGAAGTTCAACTGACTTGGTAGCAGAATAAATGCATTCAACAGCAGCGCTTCTCATTTTAAAGAAGTTTAAAAAAGGGGCTGATGCAGTGTTGAATTTAATTGTTGGTTTACTTTTCAACAGAAACGAGACCAGTGGTGAGACAGTTGGTTGTGTGGGAGTGCAGTCAAAAGAAGAACAGAGTGCTTTACGCAGAATATCAATTGGAAAACTCTGGGAAATCCATCGCTGGCGTGGATTTCGCCAGACTAACATCTTACTGCTACACGAGTCTATGCAACAACAAGGCCTTCAACGTGACATTCGACGGCCAGCTCGCGATCCCCCGTTGATCCCCGCCCGCAGGATGAATGAGGAACCCTCCCAGCATGGGTGCTGGGGGTGGATTGGATCCAACACTCGTCTTCATCTTCATCCATCTTCCCCGGCTTTTGTTTTTAAAATATGCTTTAGACGTCAACAACAATAACGCGAGGCATTGTTCTCGATTCCAGTTCGTGTGTTTGGAAGTCTCTCTCGGGATAAAATACGAGTGGACTTTCCAGTTTTTAATCCAGGAGAATCACGCACATGTTCCTGCTTTCTCTTCTCAATGTCACGTTTCATTCCCTCGCTTTCACTTCCGAAGGGTTGCCTCCAGTGAGAAGAATAAGTTACTTGTGAATTTTTTTTAATTTTTTTATTTCCTCTATAGCCAGGGGTGTCTAAAAATTATTGCGGGGAACAGACAAAACTGTTCAATGCGTTTGGGTTTTTTTTTGACGTCATCAAAACAAAAATATAAATTACAGATCTCCAAGATTTGCAATTTTAAGGAAAACCAGGTTGACGTATTTCCTCGGACTGCTTGAAACATTTCACCAGTGAAAAATGAACGAAAAGTACATTGAATGTGCACTGTGACCCCGACATACAGTTCACCTACGAAGGATTCGACTTAAGGCCACTTGAAACTCAAAAAATCTGCCCCGACATCTGGACGATATGCCAAGACACAGACACTTTTCCAAAACTTCCGAAAAAATGGCAAACTTTGTTTTTCCAAAATTTAGATATCTCTTGAAAAAATTGAGCTATTTAAACTCACAGGAATACCAATTTAATTAATAATTTACTCAAAATCGTAATAAAAAAAAAAACAAGCTAATTTTGTACTCTGAGTTTTTTCCATAATCTCTGCTCCTAGAAAAAATCAGAATTTGTGTGGTTTACTTCTGCACAGATATTTTCTGTATCTTGAAGTTGAGAAAAGTTGTTATTCAATTTTTGGGGAATTTATTAATCTTGATAAAACAGTAGAACCAGTAAAACGTGCTCCGACATAAGGAACAATACGGTCCAAGGAGCCGATTACGTCCGTATCTCGGGGCACAACCACATGTTTCCTTATTCGCAATGATGCGATTTTCCACAGATTCGAGAGACTTCAGGTAAAGCCCCTGGTTTTATCGCGCGGCTCAAGTCGGAATCGTCGCTTTTATTCCGGAAGCGAATCCGAGGAAAACAATCAGTACTTGCCCGGTTAATGATAATCCTGGAGGATAATTCATCAGCGGGCTTTCCATTAATCATGCCTCCTCTCTTTTCCCTCCGCAATCCCAGTCTAATTAATCTTAATTATTATCAGAGAGAAAGGGATCCTCCCGAGACAAGACAGAAAAATCCCGACCGAGTCCAAACAGCTCGTGATGAATTGCAGCCCCTGCAATAACTTGACTCTCGCGGTACAAGGTTTGCAATCGAGTGAAGCGTTTCGCATTATTTTTCCCACGTGCAATTTTTTCTCTCTCGGCAGTCGAAAATTAGACTTTCATGAGAACAAGGCCACCCAGTCTTTGTATATCAACTTCTGCGCCGCTTTTTCTTCTTTGACCAAAGCAGCACCCAAAAAAAAAGAGCACTCTTTGGAACTGTGCACAGAAATATGCTGCGAATTATTCCCATCGTTTCGGCGATTTACCCGCGATCATGGGATCCGAAAACACGTTGCCAAGTACAGCATTTAGAGGAATTTCTCGCATTTAAAACTCGTAGTGATATTTCATACTGCACAATATATAAAAAAAAATGCGTGAATATATATGAGAAAGTTTGATGACTGGAATCCCTGATCCGTAACGACAAACGTGACGGTGCTGATCAACAAGTCAAGAGGCCAGCGAACTGGGAATTAAGCCGTTGCCTCGGAATCCCGCTCATTTATCTATTCAAAGTGGGCCCAAGGGTCATTAGCGGCGGCTCACATTCGCCACCTGTTATTTCCCCTTCTCCATACAGGCCTCGCCAAAGCGAAAACCTCTATGCCTCTGCTGAAATCCCACCATAATACGAACTACAATATATACAAAAAGGGATTCGAGGAGAAAACAAAATTACCCGAATTAACGCGCAGATTTTCTCGAAAATCCAAGTTTTCCTCTATCTGAAGGATGAAATGTTTCTAAAAGCAAAGGTCTCCATGCAGTTGCAGTCTTCCCAGCAGCTGGTGCATGATATGAAAAATACATTTGTACCAAACCCTCGTCGTCGTCGTCGTCGTATTTGGTCATCGTCGCGGTTTCATCAGGGAGCTCTCATCGCGACAGACAAAAATGTACTGCAACCGAATCAGTTCAGCTCAGCGTGACCAGGAAAACTTTACAACTTGGAAAACGCCATCAGCAAAGAAGAAGCCGCGAAACAAGCTCAGTCACGGTCCGAAGCCTCGCAGAGGATTTCTCTCATAAAACTGCATTCACACGAAATGAGATCTTTCTCAAAACCAAAAAAATAAAAACATGTCCTCCGCAAATGCGACTAGGACTAAGAAAAGAACCCCGATTATGGTCAAACTCGCCCATTTCCTCCGCTGTGTTCAAACACATTTTGAAAAATACTCCAGAGTCGCCAACGGTAGCTTAGCTGTAGAGGATTTATGGGGGGGGAAGGAAAGGGCTGAGAAATAACCCCACTGCTTATTTGCTGAGTGCCAGACAACTGAGGATTGAGGGCAACTGAGCGCCAACGAAAAGCATAGCCAGGATAACAATTCAGAGTTAAAACCATTCAGAAGGTTATACAGTATTCTTGTATTGTATGGATTCTCTCTCTTTCTCTCTATCTTGAACGAAAATTATTTGTATCTGGCACATGGATTCAACTGTTTTGCCAGCAATATTAAAACAAAAGACTTTCACTGCATGATTTGATTGATTGAATGATTGACAAACAAAACTTTATCTTCTGCTTTTCAGCATTCACAAGGTTTAATCAATGTCCCCACATCCAAAACCCCTCCCCTCCCCACGTGCCACATTAGCAGCACATTCCATCACGTAAGGAGTGTTCAAGGGCATTAAAAAAGGAAAATACATCACAAAATGTACAAATGCACAACTGGTATAAATGTATACACTTTATTCCCTTCACAAGATTACAAAAAGAAAATATCAGTAATATGTACGGATTAAGCGTGATTTGTTGTTGGTTTTTGACAAATACAGTTGAATGAAGGGTTCTGATGTTCAGTACTTGATCGAGGAATAATTTGAACTTGTCACTTAGAATTGATTTTCTCAGATGCAAGCAGGTGACTGTTTTTTTGATACCCTGTATTTCTTAGTTTACAGTACAGTGGGACCCCGACATAAGATAATCAGGGACTCTGAGACAAAAAAAAACAATTTCCAAAACAACCGGAAAGTGTCTTGAGATACAGACCATTTTCCGACACTTTGAACATCTCTCGAAAAAATCAGCTATTTATACTCAAAAAACTAGGATAAATTTAATTATGAATTTAATCAAAGGCATACTCAAAAATTCAGGCTGATTTTTTGCTTCTTTCTTTCAAGTTTTTTTCCCATATACAGTAATATATATAACACAAAGCATATAATAGCAAGATTTGCACTTGTTTTTTTGCTCCTTTAACTCCTTTTGGTGCTAAACCATGAGGTTTCGAGTAGATTTCTTCCTCGCAGTTATTTTTTTGTATCTTGAAGTCAAGAAATAATTTTCATAAATTTTTGGTTGGTAACTTATTCCGAATATCTGATAAACTGGAGAATGCTCAAATTAAAATAGATTCCCAATGAAGTCTATGGCAAAACGTGATCCGGCATGCAGACATTCCGACATAGAAACAAGGCCCAAGCAAAAAATATGTCCGTATCTCGGGGCCCATCGTATTTAAAATCACTTTACGCCCTTATGGTTACTTTTGGTATCATATTTAATCAATCAAAATGATTTCTGGCTACAGTCAATGGATGGCGTTATTTTAAAAACTGTGTGTATATGATATTTTTTCCAATAAATTGAACAGCAGTCACACAACAGACACGGCGCTCAGTTGGGCAGCGCTGAGTTATCCTTATATTGGCACTCATTCATACCCGGGCACCCATCAGAGATAACATGGTTAAGGACATGCTCTGAATTTAACGAACCTTGCTCAATTTATTCTATTTCATTTATTTATAAAAAAAATTCATTCCTATAATTCTCTTTTCTTTTTTCCCCCTCTCTGCTTTGTTTGCCGCATTCAAACAAAGAGCGACAGGTTATCAAAGTGTATTGCCGAAACGAGCGATTGATTCCATCGCGAAGATAACAATGATGAATGACTGGGAATGACTCGGCGGGTTTCTCGTCCGAAAATTGGGGTACTTTTAGCGTCAGGCCAACTGACGCCGGTGTTTTTCTCGCCGGACGGAAAATGATGCGGTCTTCGCCCGGCTAATTCCAGGGCGTGTTTCTCGGATTTTCCGCGGCCCTTAGAGAGCCGCCAACTGGAGTGACTCTGCATTTTCCAGAGCCGAATCTCGGCATGTAATAACCAGAAAGAGAGGGAGACAGAGATAATTATCGAATTAAAAAGAATGCATACAAAAAGGAGTGCAGTGGAGGGAGAAAGAGAGAGGCGAATTCTGTGGAATTAGAGCTTCCGGGTTCCCACCAACCCAAGAGAGAATTCTACACTTTTATCTGCGGAGGAAAAATGCACAACGGGGTGCAACAGAATCATTTTCAACTTGAGAAAGAAAGACAGAAAAAGGACAAAAAAGAATAACGCAAGTAACTCCTTTCAAAAAGTTCATTTTGCCTTTATTTTATGCAAGAGGCATTGATGAACTAGCTTTTGCATAAAAGACGTGGTCACATTAAATCCAATGCAAATTTCGGTACGAATATTTATTATATTTTCAACACATACTGTACTTGAAAAAGTGATAAAGCTGACTCAATTCAAACGAAGAGAGCTCGACAAAAAACTGAAAAAGTTTTCCCAGACCCACGAATCCAACATGTACAAAAAATATTGAATTAAAATATTGTAATGCGAATGAGTTCGGAGTTGAAATAATTCTTTGCGATGACTTCCTCGGTTTTCCTGCTCTGTTTCCCTCGAGTCCTTTGTTCGTGGATTACGTTATCTATTGTGTAGTATTGAAATGATTCAGTACTCATTGGAATCGCAAAATTTTCCTCATAATTCACTCAGTAAGTTATAATACAGAAATTCGTTCTTCAAGTTTTGATTTCCCGCCGCGAAAAAGAGCAGAAGCATCCCAAAAAAAAAACCTGAGAGCAGATTGAAAATTTGCAATCAATGCTACAAATTTAAAATTGGCGAGATGGGAAATGCAAAATTGATTGAAAACTGAAAGAGAATCAGACAAGGCAACGGTCAGCAACATCATCCGGTTGCTCCCGAT